GGGGGGGGGGGGGAGGGGAGAGGACGTAGGATAGGCAGCTAGTGATGCAGTCCACAGGAGTGGCAGCGGGGCCAGGAGCAGTAAACAGGTCAAGGTTTGCGGGTAGAAATATATTGAAAGACCATCGGGAGCTGCGGCGTTAATTTCACGAGATGAGGAGGGTGTAGAATGTATAGAATGTAGGGTATAGAGTAGGGTATAGAGTAGGGTATAGAGTAGGGTATAGAGTAGGGTATAGAGTAGGGTATAGAGTAGGGTAGGGTATAGGACCGGTAAGTAAATGTCGGTTCAGAGATGAGTGGTTCGTAGGGAGATCAGTTGAGGAAGAGAGGAAATGAGGGGGTTATCCTTAGGTCTCCTTCGCTATCCTTAAGCTTAGGGCTGGGCATCGATGCCGCACCGCATCATCACGAAAGACTTGCCCTCATCTGCTGTCCCCTCCCCTCCCCTCCCCAGTGACGGTCAGTGGAGTGGACGGTGCGAGACGGTGGTAGTGGCCGTGGCCGTGGCCGTGGCAGTGGCACTTTCGGTGCGGGTGCAGATCAAAGGTCGACAAACGTTTTGGGCCTCATACGATCCAATAGAAATGCAATGAAGATCTGCGCTGGATCGAGGGTGCTGCTATTAATAGTAAAGAACGCTTCTGGAATGCAGCCTGTCAGTGTGCCATTCACGTGGAAACATCCGCCCAGGAGCCAGTCGAAGCCGCCCAACTCTAAATCGCTGCGTGATCGGAGGTTCATTTGGTGAATTACTCGAGCATCCATCTTCTCTTTGTTTATTCCCGAAGACACCGAGACACCATTAGAAGATATAGACATCACGAAAAATAGCAACACCACTCGATATTCCACGGAACAATGGACAATAAGCTTAACAGCTCCAAAAGTTAAAAATAGATTGCCTTCAGACGAGTCATACTCATAAACCACTCAAGCGGGGTAGCTCATCGTTCAGTTCCCCCAAGCGAATTTTCATGGAGGGGTAAAGTGGTCCCTTTGCAACACACCCAACACAATCGATAAGTACCCTACAGTAACAACCTAAACCCAATGCCCCTCCCGGAAACCAATAAATCCGAAAGGGATTCACAAGAAGAACACTGGTAGGAGACTGAAAAGAAATTCAAATCCCGTCGACAATCAAGTTCAAGAGATTCTGCGGTGAGAAACGCCTCCCGTCGCCACCGTCAACCTGGGGTTACCCAAATCTAAGACAGCATACCAAGTACAGCACAATACTAACTCGGTGCTTACCAAATCATGGAAGTCTTCTGCTCTTCATCTTGAAAACTACAGTAGCCAAGGTAAGCATCTAGACCTAATGAAAGCCAAAAACAACTAGGAAGCGCACTATTACTAGTACGTTGTCGCTCCCCCTCCGTGATGATTCCATTCAAAAACGCGAGCCTAAATATAGAAACCCCGAAGTCCGAGGAACAATGAAGAAGAATCCCGCCGATCCGAACAACGGTCGCGAGAGGCTCGAGTATCGAGGATGGTGCCTTGTCAGCAGATCTCCCGTCGCTACTGTGGTAGCTTCAAGACATAGTTATCGGGGATAAAACGGTGATAAGAAGAGTACCGTATTAATTAGATTATAAGATACCATTATTTAAATAAAAAATCCGTCCTAAGGCCTATTTGAACCATGCCAATCCATTCCCACGATTTAAGTACAGGACGTGGAATGGGTCCTGGAATCATTCCACGAAGTGGCAATAGGGGGAAAATGCGGGGTATCTGGGAATAGCTTCAGTTTTTGCAAAATTTATATACGGTTTTTTTGTAGCTTAACTTTGACCACCCTCTTGGCCATCCAGTACTGTAATTGTGAGTGTTTTAGCCAATGTGGTAGTGTTGAATAAAGCAGCTGAAAAATGATATAAAATCATGGATTTGAAGTTCTAGCCTTCTGATTAGTTAGAGTTATAAGATATTAGTCTTTCGGACCATATGGAACCATATCTACTAACGTAGTAGTATCTTATTCGTAAATGATATCTTATGATCCAATTAATACGGTACCTATATTAGTACGTTTTTACCTGTTAGTAATAGACAAAAGAAGTCAATAGGTAAGTAATGGAAAATAGGTAATAGAAAGTCCTCGTAAAATCATACTTTCCATTCTAATTCCCAACCCATCCCAAACAATAAAACCCATCAACAAAAAACCAACAAACCACACAAAAAAGAAAAAGTAATTATCCTCAGCCACTTCCACACTTCCTCACATTCCCACTCACAAACAATATACAAACAACCTCCTCCATACATCTCTCCTCTTAACTCCCCTTGCCTACCACACCTCCCCTACTAAAACTAACCAGTCAAAGATAAATCATACATATATACATACTCCTAAAATTACTCATCAGTATAAATCCAGACTCCCATCTCCTGCCTATCTTATGATTAGAATTATATCACAACAATTCCCGTCTCTAACCAACCCTCTAACTAACCTTCCGCACACTCTTGTGAGTTACCTATACACCTCTAATTCCTTTCTATACAGATCAAATCCCACATGTATCAGCCTTCAAGGCAACTACCTACCTACCTATGGTTATAGTAGTAGAGAACCCCATCCGTGTGGCGGTATGTACTATTGGTATACATTGAACACTAGCCTCCCTCCTCCCTCCCCTAACTTCCAACCCACAAACTCACCCTCCACTTTCTCCTTCTTCAAGTATTAAAACCTTGAAAACATACATACAGTGCAAGAAACCATCCTACCTGCCCTCACGCCTCCATTCCCCTCCTTATCCAACCCACTCAACCCACCCATCAATCCCAAATTCCCCAAATTCCCTAAATACACAACCTCACCCCTCACAACCCATCCCACCCCTCACCTCATAGAAAACCAGAACCCACCAATCCAATACATCGATCCAATACCTCAATCCATACATCAAGAAGGGAAATCCAGATTCCAGATGAAAGACATAAAACACACCATACATACATACACACATTCCATACAAAAAAAAGCAAAGAGAGAGAGAGTACCTAAGACTCTTCTCACCAAGTGAGGTACTCGTATCTTATGTTATGTTATCTGGTATGGTATGATATGATATGATTAGGCCTTCACGGAAACACTCTGAAAATTCTTTTTATGTGATGATGTACGAGGATTTATGGGAAAGAAAAACAAAGGAAGTGTGGTGTAGGTATAGATAGATGTAAATGTAAGTGAAAATGAATATACATAACTTATACGTATCGAGTCCATTCCAAATCAATTAAAATACAAAACCATAATTACCATACATAAAAAAACCAAAACCGACAGCAACAATTCCTCCAAAGTAGTATTCACAGGGCAAGAAGACGTTTCACAGCCAAGGTACAAAATCCAATTAACAGCAATAAACAATATACAAGACCCAGAGAACCGCGAAGCAACAATACCAGCACATCCAGCTGCCTACCATATTCGGATATTCCATTCCAGACATCTAAGCATTAAAGTGAGTAAAAAATCTATAGACAACAAAAAATACAAAACCCCCAAACTGCTACCACGAAAAAAGTCATACAGGTATCATCACATCATCATTATCATTAACTCCCCTCCACCCTCCATTCCTCACACCATCATCATCCTTCATACCAACGCACTAGTTCACCTCCTCCCCCTCCCTCCCCTCCTCCTCCTTCACAAAATCCCGAAACCCCTCTCCTCTCAGACTACTCACCCCCCTTCTCACAGCCCCACTCCGAATACTCCTCGAATCCCTCTCATAAACCAAATTCACCACCATCAAACTCGCAACAAACAACCACACATCACCACCTCGGAAGCCCCTCCACCAACCTCTCTTCCGTCCCACCTTCCAGAGACAATCGAGACTCGCCCGAGCGCTGTAGAGAAACTCACTTCTCGCGCGTCCGCGAACCATGAAGCCCCATAAACCACCGAGCACACCACCGAAGAAGAATCTTTGGGTGGACAATACGTGTCTAGGGAGGTATTGCTGGAAGAAACAGATCGCGCCCCAGGATGTACCGATGGAGCCTGCGACGAAAGAGGAATAGAGAAGAATTCGCGAGGCTAGTTTGTTGAGAGTGGTAATGGGGGAGTTGTAGAAGGCTTTGTATTGTGGGAGGGAGAGAAGGACGAAGATAGCTGTGAAGAATCGCGTGAGTTGGGGGAATACGCGGATCCAGTAGGTTAGGTAGGTGCGGAGACAAGAGGGATCAGATGGGTGGAGGGTTGCACAGGTTAGGGAGGCTATCAGGGGGTGCGCTGGAGAGGTAATAGGTGAGATGGCGCCAAGTGCTTTTGGGAGGGTTGTAGTGCTGTTTGGGAAGAGGATGGGCGAGATGAAGGGTCTGGATTTTGTTAGTTAGTAACAAGATGTAGGAAGATAGTGACATACGGGTAGTTGAGTTTTGCAGTCTCAGCAATCTTGTCAACAATCTCGTAGGTATCTGGCCAGGGAAGTGCTGCAGGATAATCATTCGGCCGAGCCTGGATATATTGAGGAGAGTATTTCAAGATAAAATCTCCATATGCCTTTTAAAGTTAGTAAAGTCCAAAGCTTCCAAAAAGATTCAATCACCTTTGGAAAACAATCCCGATCAAAAACAAAAGCATGAAGCAACTGTCCACAAGTCAAGGGATAAAGCAACCAACTACCCCACCACCAAGGCCTCTCCCACTTACTCCCCTCCTTCCCCCAAATCCACCCCTCATCCTCGGCATGATTATAAGTAAACTCGGCCGCCCGACTAAGAGCATATATAGAAATCGAAACTCTCAATTGATCACTTGGATAAACCCCCAACATGAACCCCGCCAAACTCGCCCCAATAGCCGGAGCCAAACTCGAAGTGAGAGTCCTACTCGTCCTCTTATTCCTCTGACGAAAAGGCCTAGCTTCAGGCGTAAGAAGACGAGCCCTTAACCTTGTGAAGAACCGGAAAAGAATCCGGTGAAGAAGTAAAATCGTAGAAAGACTCAGGGAAAGTCGAAAATTGGGAGATTTCCATAATGGGACTCTCTTCCCCCTATATCCAAAAGTAAGTACTCAACTTCAAGCTGACAACCCCACCCCCAAAACAGAAACAAAACATGGTAAACAAACCTCACAACCTGAGCCCCCAACAACCTTTCCTTAACCGCACTCCAAGCCTTCAATCCCGCTCCCGTCGCAAAGAAAACCCTCAAACTCGCCCTAATCGCCGCCGCGTTATAATCCTCAACCCCCCTCCCGCCAGGCCCATCCAACAACTTCTCAACCTTCGCAGGACTAGGCGTATTCCTCTGCAGAACATTGGAACGCGAGATGATAAATCGGTGGAGAGTTTCGTACTCCTTGGAGGAGATGGTATATCGGAGGGCATTCCGTAGTATAGGATCAGCCGTAGACTTCGCAGAGATCCTATGTTCGCGGTTTTTGGGAGGTCCTACTTCTTCGTCTGGATTTGAAGCCATTGCTGCTGCGTTTCGAGTGAAGCTCTGGTAGCATGGATGGGGTATTGGTTTTGTTGTCGCCCTTTTTGTTTTTGCTATTCCTAATTTCCCAGCGTGAGCTTCAACAATGCGGCCAGGATTAACAGGGTGGCAGGCATGTGAACCTCGGTAACAATCTTGGCTGGGGTAATAATTCAGATCACGTGTAGAGCTATGCCGCTGAGGACCCGAGGTTGAGAAGGGGAAGCATCCCGAACTGCAGGTGGGGGCAGCTATGGTAAGGATAAAGTCATCCAAATTCTCGGAAAGGCCTAGAGCTTGATATTAGATATTTGTTTGATTATGACTACTATTAACATATAATACTTCTACAAGCAAGTTATCTGTCTGGCAACTAATATACACTCAAGAACCATCCGACACGGATCGACGCCAGCAACCCCATCAAGTAATTCCCAAAGTTCATCCCTTAAACTCCCTCCAATGCGTCGCGTTAGTCTGTATCCGTGTTACTCGTTTCGTTGCCCGGAATCCGATCTCTTAGCCATGCAAGCGTAGCTTCCGTTCCTTTCTCCAAAACCGTGTATTTTGGAACCCTAAACCGATTACCACTAACGTCCAGTCGCTCCAAACCACCTGGCCCACCAAGTAATCCAATTCGAGCATTGAGACTGTTAATCTCATTGCTGCTACAGTCCAGTATTCTCAGTCCCTTGATATTCTCCGGAGCCAGCTCTCTGATTGTGTTGTTTGAAGCAAATACACTCACCAGATTTGGAAAATGTTGTCTCAAAACTGGAAATGTTGTAAGTCGATTAAAACTGAAGTCGAGTTTCTCCAACTGTGGTGCAATCAAATGCTGCATGAGTGGCTGTAGCGAGTTCAACGTGTTCGAACTGATGTTCAGCTCTTTTAGCATTGGCAAGTCGAGATCGTCCTTCATGAAGCTGTCGTTATTTAATTCGTTATGCGCGATATTCAGAGATGTTAAGGTAGCCGCGAAGAAGGCGATTGAACTAGGAATCTCTTTGAACAGATTATGGTGCAACTCCAAGGTCTTGATGCTGTGATTCGTGGCGATATGGGCCACTGCAACGGGATTCAAGGAATGAGACTGAGTATTCGATCGATCAAGGACATTTCCAAACTTGATAGGCCAATTCATCGAAGGTGACCGTGGGGATAGCGGTGGTGGTGGGACCGAACCAAAAGAAGAGTCCCCGCCGGCCTGCAATGTGTTGCTGCTCTCACGCTCTGGTGTTGGTGTCATTCTTGCTTTTAATGTTCGCTTCAGCTCATCAGTTGCCATACTGACAAACTTTTTCTCCCTCAATGGATTTCCACTGATTCTGAAAGCGTCCAGGCTATCCATTGCTCCAATGTTGTCGTTCAGAACTTTGATATTGTTGCCAGTGAAATCTGCGTATTTTAATTTTGGCAGAGTGGTAAAGCCGTCAGGAATAGATGAGATACTGTTATCTTCCGCTGCAAGAGTCAACAGACTGACCCAAGATGTCAGTTCAGGAAGATCCGACAGCCGATTAGACGAGCAGTTCAGCTGATGAAGGCTAGGAAGGGCAATGTCTCCTTCGCTAATCCTTGTAAGCGAATTGCAAGCGACATTCAGAACTTGAAGTTTCGAGAGCTCTTCTATCTCAATATCAATTAGAACACCAGAAAGTTTGTTCTTCGATGCCAGTATTTCAGTGAGAGGTAGGTTTCGCAATGCTCCGAAAGATAGAGAGGTCAATTTATTCTCTTTGACATTGAATACTCGTAGACGGACAAGCTCCGCGAGACCATCGGGAAGGGACACGAGCGCATTGCGTTGCAAATCTAGAGATTCGAGACTGGTAAGTCCGGATATTCTCTCATCTAACGGTCCGGTCAATTCGTTCCCACCAAGCTTGAGATCACGCAAGGAGGGAAGCTGAGAAATGACCTCAAAGCAATTGTTTCCGAGTTTGTTGTTTGACTGCAAGATGTTAGTATATGACGTGGTCTTGCTATAAACAAAACCTACAAGATTCAAGGAGGTAAGCATCTCAAGCCGTCTTAACCCAATTGGTAATTCTATCAGCACATTGCCATGCAGATCTAGAGTCTCCAAGCCGCCAAATTGATTCCCCTTGGCATCCTCGTCATCCGCCATGTCTCGGGGATCAACATCGGGAAAGACATCATCGCCCAGTCTCTCAAATTCATTATCAGCGGCGACAAATTTCGTGAGGTCAACAGCTTCAGCCCATGAGCCTCCAGCGGCTTCAAGACTATACATGTTCATTACTTCTTCAGGGATCTCTTTGAAACCCATTGCGGCAATGTTCAAACGCCCGTCTGAACGTGCAGCATCAACACGCTTTCGTAAGAGACCCTTCACTCCCTTTTCGCTCATATGTTGGCTGAACGGATCATCCGAGAGACCGAAATCAAAAGTAGCGCTTGGAATCACAGGTATTTCCTCGTCCTCTCTCGAAGTCAAGACGGGTGTCAACTTTATGGCGGACGCCCGTTTTGCAGCTTTTGCCTTGGCTATTTGATCTCGAAGTGCATTGGAAGAGCTTTTGGCGGTATCATTGTTGTCAACCGAGGTAGTGGTTGCCGAAGTTAATGTTGAGATTCTGGATGTTGTCGAAGCTCCTTCAGATGACGTGTTCGAGAACGTAGATTGCTTCTTGGAATTAAACCCAATTCTATCTATATTGCTAGATTTGTCCAAGGTAGTCATAGATGGCTTACGAAAAAGTCCGTTTACAGATGCGCGAGGTTTTAATGGACGTGCTGAAACACTCCTACCTTTGATCGCTCCATCATTGGGACTTTTTGCGGGGGTTGGGATTCGTGCAGGTGGTGATACACTGAATATAGGCGATGGCAGCTTGGAGGAAGACGTAGTCGGCGTTTGTGGATGGAGCTGTATATTGGATGGCTTTTTGACCAACCTACCGGTCAATGGACGTGCAGAGGCAAAACCAGACACTGGGTGCTTGGTTGTATTTGTATTGGCTCGGAAATCCGTCATCAACGAGTGAGGTTGACCAGCGCTGGAACCGGGTCTTGAAAAGGAGCGTGTTGGTGGGTGCATTGCACCATCTGGTTGATGGCTGGAACCGGGTCTTGAGGATATTCCACTCGACAGTGATCGCATTGGATTTTCTGTGCCGTAAAAGCTGGAACCCCTCCTTCTTACTGCAGGAGAAGAAGGGATACTCTGCAAAGTCTCCATTGTTCTCTCGGCTAACGATGGGCGAGGGGCTTTTCGAGAGCGAACCGTTGAATCGACGTCTGGTTCTTCTGATTCCTCGAGCAACGCGCTTTCATGCGCCGAATCTTCTCTATTCTTCACCGGCGTAGTCTGTTGCTCGCCGAAAAAAGTCTGCGAAGGCTTTCTATATAGCGTATCATGGCTCGTTCTGCGTGAGAGTCGTTGGGTAGGCGTGTGGAGAACGCTACCAATAGAGACATTGCGGTCTTGAGGGAGGACCGTCAAGGTATCACGAGCTCGGGATGGAGTAGAAGGTATGCGTGGTCGGGTCGATGTGGCAGACAAGTGCTCGCGGGAAGGAGTGCTTCGTAATTTGGGATTGGCGATGGCTTGCTTTGGTGGTTGTTGAAGATTATCTCGAGATGCGGCAGCTCGCAGAGCTGGGCGCATTACAGGTAGCTTGGATGGAGCGGGAAGCCTTGAAGGTCGAGGAAGACCAGACAGGCGCGAAGTATTTGGTGGTTGATCCATGATTGATTGATTGAATATTGGTGATTGTGTGTAGAAATCAAAGTTCAAGGCGCACACTGAATGTGAAGCTGGTGGAAGTGGTGATAGAGGTTGCTATCTGCAAGTTGGGTACGGTTGTCCCGAGGGTCGTCTGCCGTGAAGCGATGTAGAGAGGGTTTTTGGACAAGTGGACGAGTAGGTATGAAAAGGTACTGAGTAGGGGAAAGCTGCAGGATAAACTGCATCCAATTTCATTTCGGCCGGAGAGTTGATCGGCATCAAGTAATCAAGGCGCCATCAACGCTTCTCCTTTTTTCCCAATCGGTGGTACTGTAGCAGGGGCGTCAAGGGCAAACTCATGTCTTTGGCGCGACGAGCAGATTGGAGTGAAATTTACGGAGACAGAGAGGAAGCACGTACCAGTAGAGTAGGTCCAGTAGAGCATATCCCCATACTGATAGGCGACAGGTCATAAATTGGCCAATAAGGGATGAGGCTGGTGGTCGGGGTGAAGAGAGAGTGGAGGAAAGTCCACGCGAGGACTAGGTTGAGAACCCGGAAGTCTCGCAGCCTCACCAACCATGTCATCAGTTCACTTACATGCGTTGGAAAGGTCTGAAAATTAATAACTTCTATCTCTCACTGTGCGTGAAAGTTGCGTGAATTTGTGTGTGCCAATTTCAACACATACTTAACTACCTATTTGGGCATCGCGAGCCTGTCCTCACAGATCATCGCACTACAGGAGAAGGTAGCTGGCCGAGCTGGCGTGCATCTTCAACAACGGGTCATGGCCGGACAATCTTCCGGGCTGGGCTTAGCGATAGCGGTACTCGTAGACTTAGGTTAAACGTTAACCCTCAACCAGTACGGTGATAAATACCTACTCCTGCTGCCGTAGAACCCTTTTCATATCACTCCTACTTTGCTAGAAAAAGTAAATAGATTGACCCAAATAAACATGCCTAGACCATTCGAAGCCTTGAAGAATAGGTAAGTAAGCTATAGCTACTGCTACTCGGGTAGGTAGATACGAGTAGCGCGCCTACCGCCAACTTTACTCGTCACCTACAGAAGAACTTCAACCAAAGTAACTATTTTGGTGTTGTGAATATCAAAACGGTTGCCCCTCAATTCATTGGTGTATTTCCCATGCAGAAAACTATCAACTTTTGGAACTCAGTTCATCTTCATTCAGTGCAATGTTCCCAAAGCGTCCTGCACTTGGGCGTACCGTTGCCCAGCAACCTGACCCGCCTCCTGATTTTCCGGCCTTTTGCTAGGGCTGCCGACTCCCCCGCCACCTGGATATCAATACCAACGTCGTGAATCTCATCGCGCCGCGAGCTCTCTGCGGCTGCTATTGTGACCTGAGTATGTATATCATTGTCCCAAGTCCTCCTTCTATTGTTTCTGAATCACAAGCAATCCACTGCTAACCACAATTGTCGCAACACTGCAGCTCTTCCCAGCCGAGCCCAGCTGATAGAAAGCTAGAACACACCTCGGTTTCTCTCCTCCCGCTACTTGCTGCCTCAACACCAGGGCCTGCTCTGCATCCTGATTGCAAAGGCATTTGCTGTCGCATTGGCTACCTAGCATACATCGCATGAACAAGACACCAGCCGACTCCAGTCAGTCATCCCGCTTGCTGACTCCTACCACCATGAGCTCTCAAAGCTCCGTCGTTGAGGAAACATCAACTCCTGTCCGCACCTCCACCCCCTCAACACCACATAACCAGAATCTCGATCTCCCCCCTATGGCGAAGAACGATCGAGCCTCCTCCCCCAACACCTCACTACTTACTGTCCCTGGCACCTCCTCTCTCACTCCTCCACCCTCTTCACAAGTTCCCAGCATGCGTACAGCTACACACACAACATCTCGTCTCTCCACACCTGATCCTTCCTCACTCACCTCTCCACCACCTACAGCCACGAATGGCATGAAGCGAGACATGGCTACTATCGGGTCAGTCGCAAACATTACTCAAGACAAAGTAACAAATGCATCGGCCGAGGAGTTGCGTGAGATGCTACAATCCGTTCTTTCAGAGAACAAGAAGCTTGATATTGCAGCTCGTGAAGCTCGCATGTCTGCAGCTCACTATAAGCTCCAACACAACTTGCTCACCATTGAAAGCGAGGAGGCCGTAAAGCACTTGGAAGTCGAACATGACATGACCCTCCGAGAGGTTGAACTGCTACAGCTCCGTGTCCAAGATGCTAGAGATCCTCCCGAACTCGAGCGTTACAGAAACAAATCCAAGATGCTAGAGGAAGAAGTCCGTAGACTCAATGACAACTTGCGAAAGGCCAAAAGAATCATTATATCCAAAGAAGATGATATTATTGACTTGGAAATTGAGTGCAAACAGCTTCGGGAGAGAATCCGCGTCAATCGAGCACATATCAATGAGATGCGTAGCCCAGGAGGAATCTTTCATAACCCAAGCTTACACAACTCTCCTGCAACCCCTCAGCAATATCGTGCTACTCCAAGACACACTCCAATGACCAATCAGTCCATTCGACGAGCTCGGGATCAAAGTCAAGAACCTTTTGCTGCTTTACTTCTTGCGGATCGTGTATTAAGTCAAGAAAACAATAGTGCACCTTCCACCCCTATCGTCGCTCGACGACCAGAGCAACAACGCACCCCTAATCGACACAACAGAAATGTACAGTCGCTCTCCTCGTTGCCAACTACCCCAGGGTCCGCTCGACAAGCTGCCAACTCAAAATTATTACCATCTGCACAGTTCTCGTCCCAAGCAGAGGCAAGAGTTGCTTCTACACTTGCTGCTGGAGCTGTTCAAAAACCAAGAGAGAGACGACGTAAATCTCGTGACAGCACTATCTCGGCTTCCGATTCTGAGGAGATTGCCCGCGCAACTGCTGAATACCGTGAAGAAAGTCAAGAGGTTACTGAAAGTCAAGCTAGTCAAAGTGCAACTGAGATGCTTCGTCGAGATCCCCGCGAATCCTTCGAAGTAGCAGCCTCTCGTGCCACAACACCTGTTGTTCAAGCCAAGATCTACGGAACTATCACCAAGTCAAGCGTTGACAAGAGAAAGCGACTTCCTGATGGATCTGAATCAAGCCACGCGGTCAAGAAGCATCGTGCAGCTACCGGTGTTGGTCTAGGAATTGGTTTTGAGTCCAGTCGATAATAAATCAACTGGCTTTTTGGCTGCCATATGGCGCTTTTTTCTTCCTTCGATAATGTTTTTCATGTACTCGGGAAAACACTTCATCACGACGATACGAAATCTTCAGCCTCTTCACATACCCTGGTCTCGTTTCTTTTTCGGATCGTTTCTTACAAGCGATTCCACTTCGTAATGTACGATATTCTCAACGAAGTTCCCCTCACATGATAAAGGAAATTTGTACAGAACGGAAAATTGGGTGGTATGAGGGACTGGTTTCTTGAATGGAATGAACAGACTCCGGTCCTTTAATTCTATCCTTTTGGAAACCAGTTGGCCTTATGCCTGAACCTGATGGGTATTCTGACATCTTGCGCCACTCTTAAAGTGGGCGACAGAGATACATCATACTAGTTGATAACCAAAGAATGAACGAACTTTTCTTGAGAAGCTTTTAACCTATCTTTCGTGATGCCTTCTGAATGTGACTACATGTTCAGTGAATTGATTCGGTTGACATCGTGACGAGCGTCAGGAGTAATATGGTGAAGCCGAGCCTCTCCTAATAAAATTCACTTGTAAGTTGTATCCGAGTACATGCCATAGCTGAACGACGTCCGGTTTTGCAATTCAATAGGAGCTGGGAAAGACCGAGGAATGAGGTAAGTGTTACCCAATGAAAGGGAGAAAAGAGGGAAGGGGTATAGGATGTGGAAGCGTTGTAACCTTACGTTTACGTACTGTTCATCTCATTTTGTGGCGTAGTTCTTGCATGCGGTGAGATGGGAGGTTAAGGGGGTTAGGGTTTGATTCTGCAAGGTATATAGGTAGCTGGTCTAGCAACTACTATCTCGAAGTTTTGATAAAGTAACATTTTACTCTTTTTTGAAAAGACGAGAGACGAGAAGCTTTGGGGCACCCCACCATCCAGTATCAAACCCGCGGTTTCTCCGAAAGCTACGTACAGTACCGGTAGGCGGGGCAAAACTGAGGTTAACGAACCGAGACTACATACGAGGACGGTACCGACGAGTCGGTCAGCTCAGCAACAAGTTAGTTACCTGGATACAGTACTCAAACTAGTCCTTTTGATCGCAAAATCAGTCTTGATACAGGACTCGGGATTGAGAAGGGTCGTTCGTGGGGGATTTTACATTTCAAACTCAAGGTTTAACCTTGGAATCGGACAGACTGTCAGAGTCAGAGTCAAATATACTTCCGAACGACAGGTAAAATGGCGGGATACCCACCAGGTGGCCTCCAACCCTCGAACGACAGTACCACCAAGCCACCATTGGAAATTACCGATCCGCTGGATTACTTGATGGAGGTCTCCAGGAGTCCGTTTCAAGCTACTGTGTCGGGTTCCGCGCAGAGGACGATGGCCTTTAGTAAGGAGGTGATGGAGGGGATGAGGGACCGGATTGGGAATGTGTTTAAGGAGAAGGAAAGAGGTGGGGAGATGGTGGTTGATGGGGATGAGAGTGGGGATGAGGAGGCGGATGAAGGGGATAGGGAGGAGAGGACGGAGATGTTGAGGGAGGTTTTGGGGCTTGTGGGGGGGCTTTGGGGAGCTGGGTTTGAGGGGATGGCG